CCTTAGCAAATGCTGTTTTACTTCTTCTTCTTTTTTAATTTTTCAATTTTTTTAGAATTCAAATTTTTGAGGTATTTTTAAATTATTAAGAAAAATTATTTTTCCAAATTATATTTTTAATAATAAATCATCATATTGTCCTTATAGTTACGTAGAGCCTTCTTGTAAACACAATGGACGTAGAGCCTTCTTGTAAACACAATGGAATTTCTTAAAGTATTTGTTATATCTACGGTGGTATGTGTGTATAAATTAAATGTGAAAATAAAATAAACAATAAATAAAATTGACATATATAAGCCCATAAAGGCTACGAATCACTATGAACAATCCAAACCCATCACTTGAAGCCCAATGCATAACCCAGCTGGTGAGGTCCAGGACAGCTAGAGTCCAACATGACATAAAGAACCAATGACATTCAGACACACAACAGGTGAAGGACGAGCCACATCAGCTGACAAAGATCTGCAAAGTTATTGCCACTACACATCACCATTAATATAGACCATCACAGCATTTATTACGACAACACCTCTCCGTCGGAATAGGACCCCCTCACCCTGAACAAGGTAAGCTACAGCATAGACTTTCGGCGAAGAGGGCAGGTCAGAAGGAACAGCAAAATGATAACCAAAGGATATAAGCAAACGTTGAAGACAAGAAGAAGGTCAAACTTTTCTATCTCTAATCTCTCCCTCTACACTCTACTTCTCTTCCTAATTTCCTCGTCAAAGGGTTCACTGGAGGACTACCCCGTTCCCCGTTGAACTTGTTTACAGGTTATCCGGTGGGCTTGATCATTTGGACGTGGGCTTGAAGAGCTTGGACCAGTCCGATCCATTCATTGACTTGGAATATTTTGATTTTTTGTATAGGGTTTTGCGCAAGAGAGAAAATGAATCGTGATGGGGGTTGCTTGGCCTCTTGCATGTATATATGGGAGGAAACCCAAAGGGCGGCAACTTTTCGAATTTTCGAGATAGTAGGGACAACTATGGAGTTGCACGGAACAAATGGGGGAGTACCACGTGGCACAAAGATGACGAGTTGTCAGTACGGCTAATGGGTTATCAATACGACTGATTGATTGATGACAAGACAACCGGCACAAGTCTCAATGACCGGCCAAAATCGATAGCTCAGTTAGCAAAGGTAATTCCAATCACATTCAGCGTGGATGGGATTAAGGGACAATTGAGAGGGGGATTTATGCCCAACACTGGGCCGAGCTAGGAATAGCACGGTTATGTTGGGTTGAGTTTGGGTCAGCACGGAAATGGTGCTTGGGCCAAGTAAAGACCGCACAGCATACGCGTTGGGTCGTGCCGACCTGGAATGACGCTTGGTGCGGCCTAGCTAAATTCATCACCGTGGTTGAAGGAGCACCAGCAACATCATCTTGATTCGGATGGCTTACAGCGCGCCCGCGTTCAACTGGCCTGAAGGAATGCGGACTATGCTTCGACTGAGTTGCCAACTGCCTGCATTCAACCTGACGTTAGGGAGACCAGATTTGATATAATTTGGCCTTAATGCCGAGCTAGCAGCTAACCCGACTTAACCCGGTATTTGGGAAGTCAGAGTTGGTGCTATTTATTGCCAAGTAGTGGCACAGTTGGGTGTACCACGTGGACCAATGGCGAGAGGAAAGGAATCCACTCCTGGTATGCATCAATACCGTTTGACGGTGCGACAAATACTGTTTGGTAGTTTTGGTCTCTATACGTGTAAGGAATGTAGAAGGGAGCACAATAGCCTGTCCAATGAAGGACAGCAGAGATAGTGCGCCCACAATCTCTGAGACTGCATGGCCAGCCTAGATAAGGAGGCGCATGCAGACATTGGAGGTAAACAACTTTTAGCAACTCTCTCTCTCTTTACAGTACTCTGCCTTCTCTCTTCTCCAAGAAAGCTAACTTGGTCGTCAGAGGGGTTTTCCGGCGACCACCCGCCGGGTAGGTCACCGTCATTGTGTTCTTAGGTTATTCGGAGTGAAACGAAACTTGGACACGAGGAAGTACGGAGAGCTAAGAATATTTCCTCCCCGTACAATTAACCCATGTATGCCCCAAAACATAAGTTCATGAAGGCTCCCTTTGTAGGATATACACATGCAAATATTATTGTGTGCATATAGTATCTTCTAATTACTGGTACATTATTTTGAAAGCTTCAATCAAACACACAAAAAGGAGGAGGAAAAACAGTAGTCTTCATATAAAACGTTTACATGGAAATATTTGACAACGTTACACTAAATATGGCACCTTAAATAAGCCTTGAAATCCCATTTTTCACTCTCAAATATTTGGAGTTCATTTTATTATTAGTACTGTATCATCTATAATTGGTTAATACAATGACAAAGACTTAACAAGGAAATGTACCAACAAGTTGATGAGTGCACCTTAGTGTCACTTGTCAATAATCAAATGACTCATAAGTCATTCCCTCTTACCCTTTTTTTACCAAGCAAAAATGACAATATTTCTCACACAATCATGCCTGCAATCTTCAAAAGAATAAAAATCAAACCTATAAAAGCCAAAACACAACACACATATTTATACTAGCGACCCTACACACATGATGTGTGCACCAAATGAAGTAGTGGGAGAGTGATTTAGGGAGAGAGGGAAACTCGGTTATTTTGGGGCTGTGTTACTAGAAAACATAGTTGTCAAATCGGGATTTGAATTGTGAATCAAAATGGCCTTATACCGAATCGTGAATCGTAAAGAGTCAGTCACTTTTTCTAAATTACTTAGAAAATATAACAACGCACTTGGATGTTAACTATATCTTATGAATATGAAATATTTACACTTAAATCAATGAAAATATTGTTTTGAATGATGATCACATAGTTTAATAAGTAATAAGTTAATAAAGTTTCCTATGTAAGATCACCATCTTATCTTCCTTTTTTTAGATATTTCTTATAAACCATTTTTAATAAAGACAATAAATAAAGACAAACGTTCAATCTCTAAAGTAACAATAATTTAACAACAATATTGATATTTGGACAATAAGCATACATACTTTTCCAAGTAACAATGACCAAATAATAACAAAAAATTATTTAGGATATTTTATTTAAAGCCTAAAACATTATAAAAAGTATAACTAACCCCAACCATGTAATATTCAACTATATTTAATTTAATAAAATAGCAATAGATAATTCATGGTGTAAATTACTTTAATCTTAAATATCTTTAGAAGATATATTACCATTTTTTTAAGGAAAAAAAATGAGAAGAAAGATTAAACATATTGGGTCTGATTGAATCCTATTAAAAACTACATGATCAGTAAAATAACAACAAATCATGTATATATATTAGTTATTTTGGTATAAAATGCTATTAGAAATTGTATTATGTCATTCACTAAAAAAAATGGAGAAAAAACGAATCGAAAATATGTTGAATACAAAGGTTTTAAGAATTGTATGAATCGTAAAAAATGGATCGAATCATGAATCGCCTGTGAATCGTACAATTCACTAGAGATTCACTTCCAAAATAGATTCACCCATAAATTCATATCGATTTTGCAAAAATTGCAAATCAAATCATGAATCGAATTACGAATTGTAAGATTCTGATAACAGAGCCAGAAAACACTAATACCCTAGCGAATTATGTATTAATACACACATTCTGAAATCTGGTACACTTCTATTTCAAAATGATAAATTTAGTAATTCAAAGCGATCTCAAAAGTTCTTTCCAATAAATTTCCTTAGATGTTTTCTTAGTAGGAAAAAAACAACTATAATAAACTAAAATCTAATGTGAGTTAAGTTTTGATAAAACAAAATATAAAAAATTGGTCATAATGCTCATAGAAATGTTTTGTTATATGAAAAAAAAAAAAAAAAAAAACTAACTTACATTTTATTAGATGCCTAACAGTTAAAAGAAAATTACTCCATAAGCCCTCGTTTGGAATGTGAGTTGGCATTTTAGCTTTTGACTATTTTAGCCTGGGTCTAAAAAGTCTCGTTTGAAATGGATTTTTTGACTTTTGTAAGAGAAAAAATAAAATAATTATAATTTAGATGTAACATTTTGTCTTATTGACTTTTTAACTTATTTTGTCTTTTTGTGGCTAAAATAGCCCAAAAAATTTATGCCAAACATAGCCTAAGTACCTTAAATTCTTAAGTATGATATATACAAGCCTACTCCTATTGTACAACATTTTATAATATGTGGCCTATTCCATTCCCATTCCCGTTCCCGTTCCCATTAATGTACCAAAACAATCAACGTTCTTGGTAACATAGCTTTGGGATGTGGTATTCTTACATTTATTTCCCTAACAGCTACTAAAGGGAATTGTTTAAACAATTTTAAAGATATGTTTTCGTTTAAACTATTTTGGTATACTTCATTTTGTGTCAAAACCAACTAAGGTGCTCACTTTATAATATATATAGTATAGTATAGTATAGATAGTAATAGTATCGATACACACAAAAAAAAAAAAAAATGCAAATAGTGATTTCATTATCAGGCCTTGTCTTCTCAGTACCTGCAGACCCTATATTTGCTCTTCTTTTCTTTTTTTTTCTTTTGATTTTTCATAATTTCAGGTCATACATCAATTGAACTAGACCAAGTTTGGCAACTATTATAGAAATCAAATAAGGAAACCACATATAAACATACAAACATGCTCACATATTATGCTACCAAACCCTAAATTTCGACTGTAAAAAATAAAAAAAATAAAAAATTATCAGTTTTAGTTTCACAGCTGATTATGGAACAGGGGATTTGAATTTGGTGAGGTAGAGATTTTTGAAGTCATTTTGTTTCTTGCCTGTGGTGGACGGAGAAGATAAATCTGATTTTGGTTCTGATCAAAGAGTCTTTGAGAAGAGATGGCAACCCCAAATGTACAATAAATACATGTAAATTGAAGAAAAATAGAGAGGAAATGCAGCCGTGAGAAAGGAAATTAAAGAGGTAAATGTTACTCACCATTCGTTGAGTGACCAAGACTGAAAATCCGCTAGCTTCGGAAATCCACAGAAACACACACCAGACGACAGAGAGAGAGAGAGAGATATACAGTATGGAGAACGGTTCAGTCTCGAAGAATCACCACGGACTCCGATTCAGGTTGTGAAATGCCACTGAACGGCGCCGTATTAGGTCAAGAGTTTTTTTTTTAATAAGTAAATTACCAAAAAAATGTTATTTGTTTGGAGTAAAATATTACAAAAAATCGGATTTTTTTTTTAATTTACAAAGAGCGAAATTAATTGCAAAATTAAATGGTGTGTTTGGTTCGTGTTTTGTGATAAATTTTTTAAAAAAAAATTAAAGGAAGAGTTTATAAATTTTTTTGATTTGTTTGGTTGTCTATTTTGAAAATAGTTTTGAAATTTGAGAATTTGAGATGATTTTATGTTTTTGTTATAATTGAGTAGATATGTGTAAGAGAAAAGATTATTGATTGATATGTAGGAGAGAGAATGATATTAAGGGGTTGTTTGGGGTGCCCTAAATAAGTGCACTTTTTGTCTTTTTAGACTAAAAAGTTGATGTTGAAAATATGAATGTTTGGGTTAACTTGTTGACTTTTTATGGAAAAATGTGTAATAAAAAATTGTAAAAATTGGTTTGTGAGGGAAAATTAGAATTGGGAGTTGTGCAGCCGTAATTGTTGACTTTTGGTGAATAGTAATAACTTTTTGACTTTTTGAGTAACTTTTTGACTTTTTAGCTTTTTGGGGTGTTCCCAAACTTGGCCTAAAAAAAATTCAAAAAAATTGAACTGAACAAAATTTTAAAAAAATTTCTTAAAAATTATATCTTGAAATACAAATCAAACAAATTAAAAAATATATATTTAAAAATTCTATTTTCATCCATTCGCGCCTCTCTTTCATTTTTCCTATGTCCTTTTCTCTCTCTCTCTCTCTCCCCCCTTTTCTTTTTCATGAAACGACGAACTTCTTTCTAGTTGAAAAAACCAATTAGAAGGTGCTCGGGAATTCCATCCATACCCAAACAATTATTAACTACTCTCAATTTTTAAGGGTATTTTATTTAATTATTTAAAATTTTATTTTACTCTTATTATACCTTATTATTTTTTTAAAATTACCCCTTATTATTTTTTTAAAATTACCCAAGTAAACTCAAATAATAAATAATAAACAAACTAAAAAAATTAAATTATTTCAAATCTTTTTAATACAAAAAATAATACTCAAATATAAAAAAAACAAACAAACAAACTTATAAGCATATAAGCATTATAAATACAAAAAAAAAAAAATCAAACTTTTACATAAACATTATAAAAATTTTAAATACAGAAAAAAAAATTTACATTATAAATTATCCACAAGAATGTTCGTGGAAATATAAAAACCAAACTTATAAGTACATAAACATTTGGTACTAACAAAAAATAGAAATTCTCAAATAATATACTATTTAAATGACAAAATAAGAGCATCTCCAATAATATGTTATTGTTAATTTAATTACTGTGCCTTTTAATTTTTATCAAAAAAATGATATAAAAAATAATTGATGGTACTCTACAAAAATTGTGAAATCCCTTTAAATGAATACTTGCCTCCTTTTTTATGGGTTGTTTCAAAAAACTATTTTGATTATTACTCTCATCCATTATTTGATTTTATTCAAACTTTCTTATAAGGTTTAGGGTTTCAAAATAATAAAAAAACAATCACTTTGCTTGGTTCCCATTTTTTAAAAACAGCTTTAAAAAAATTCTACACACTTATTTTTTGTGTTTTTTTGTTTTTACTGAATTTTTAAAATATTTTATGCAATTTTTTTACTTTTTAGACACACCTAACATAAATACACCTAAAAAGTAAAAAAAAATTGTAAAAAAAATCTTTTAAAAATTCACTAAATAACAAAAATACAAAAAAATACAAGAATTTAGTACATTTTTTGTATTTTTATGTATTTTTTAATTTTTTTAAAATATTTTTTCATAATTTTTTTACTTTTTAGACACATCTAAGTAAGGTGCATCTAAAAAAGTAAAAAAAAAAATGTTTAAAATTTTAAAAATATTCACTAAAAACAAAAAAAACACGAAAATCAAAAAACTCAGTTTTTAAAAAATTTAATTCAGAAAACTCAAACCAAACACACACAATGGTTCTCCATTTTTTTCCTTTTTCTTTTCTTTTTTTTTTTTTTTTTAAAATTTGCTTTCCCCTCTTAGCATCACATCTAGGTTGAATCTACTGTTTCTTCATCTATTTGTAAATTACCATCTGGAAAATTATTTGAATTTTTTTCTTAAAGCCTCTCCATCCCTCCATCTGTCTCTCCCAACCGAACATAAGAGTTTAATTATTTTAAAAGCTTGTGTATCAACACAACATCTGAATGAGTTTGGTGAGAAACAAAAAATAAAAGATGAACAATGTTGCGTAATTATGAACTATACATCAAATGCACACCCAAACAAAAAGAACCATTAAAGCAGAGGCTCTAAAATGTGTTTAGCCTCTGTTTGAAATTGTGAAAGCAAGAGCACTGAAAGCCACCAGACCTGTAGTCTGGAATACCACATCAACATTTTACAATTCCTATCCCAAATATTCTACAGTTCCCTCCAAAGTAACCACACTCTTTGTGGACTAATATACAGTTTGTAATTTAGTATAATAATTCTAAATCCTTCTAACCACCAAATTTAGAAGGAAAGCATAAAAATAAAAACAATCAACAAAACAATCCAAAGACAATGGTGCAAATTAACCAAAATGAAAAGATTAAAATGACAAAGAAAGTGAATTTATATATGCCCTAAAAGTATCAAAATAAAGAAAGAACAACCACTGCCTATACTGATTTGAAGATCATTTCTTTCTGTGAATCTTGATACTCAACAACAACAACCACATGAATCAACATTAGGTTCCTGAATCTTCAAAATTACGATCAATCAATTTCTTAGTCAATTCTTCAAAGTTGATTATGCAGTTAGCTAGTCACACGAGGAGTGCAATAAATTTTACAAGCCTATGAAAATCCAATAAGTACAACAAAATAATATATGCATATATTGACTCCAATAGCGTGAACAGATTTTATGGACATATATGAAAATTACGAGCCAAAACATTTCACACAGTTACAGGAAAAATCACAAAAGCTGATTTGTAGTTCACCAAAAATAAATGAACTTTTGGGTATCAGATAAGGAGGAATAAAAGCCATAACAGAAAACAAACAAAAAACATGGCAGTTTAATAAAAAATTAAAAAGAGAGTAAAAAACAGCCCAAAAACAAGTTAAACAAAAATAAAAAATCTCATGTTTTCTCATTACCTTGAGAAAGTCTCCTGCATAAGTAGTGTTTCT